TCTTGGGATTTTTTAGACCCAATCTTGAATTTTGATTTTTCCTAGTGGTCACGCTGCATTTAGAGACAGAATTATACCCCGACGACATCAAAGTAAGTACAGTAGGACGTAGGCCATAGGCCTATATTTAAAAAAAAAAATACATTTTGTTAATTATTATTGGTTGGCCTAGGACCTAGGCAGGCAGGCCAGCTTTGCCGTCGAAAGTCCTGGGATTCGACGATGACGTCAGTGCACATGTTTACAAACGCCATTGATTGGAATAAAAATAGACGCGCTGAATTTTTTTTTTTTTTTTATGAAAGATAGTATTTATCGAACATTTATCTATATAAAAACAAGGTTAATATTGTAGAAATTGTATTTCTAAAGATTCATATATAATTCATATTTCATTTAGTAGACAATAAATATTCATTAAGATAATAAAAACGATTATTAATTCTGAAATGTGCATCAAATCTCAGCTATTATTAATCAGTATGTATTAGGTTAAAGTCTTAAAACAATAATTTCGAATTAGGCCTAGTAAACAAATAATTGTAATTAAAGTTTAGGTTCCCATGATGTCAGATGACGTATTCAATATGATGCTATATTTTGGAATCTGACTTAATTTAACGATGGCCCTGTCAGTTGTAGTAATGACAATAATTGTGATTTTTTTAGCCATGTAGTAAAAATAGTACAAGATGAGAGTCAAGAAGAAGTTCAGCTTCTACTTTATTTTGTAACAGGCATCTCTATTTTTTTATATAGGCCTACAGGAAGATTCATTATTTTAAGTTAATACAAGACAAAACTTCTTAAATGTTTTATATATTATAATAATAAGTACATAATTCTTTGTAAATTACTTTGTAGGCCTATAAATAGCTTGTTTTGTTTTATAATAATAAATGTGTTGAGTATATTGATATTGATTGTGCGATGAGGTTTTTTTTTGTATTTCGGTGTGATTAAAACATGCCAATTATCAGAAAATATTTTCCAATTTTATTATATTACCACCTTTTATTACATAGATCTTTTTCAAAACATAACTGCTTTTATAACATTATATAGACCCATTAAACACAAAAACTGCTCTGACTTCGGGGGCCGACCCCACCGGGGCCCTTAGGCAATCCACTGGACCCCACGCCAAGAGAACCCCCCCCTTGAAATGACCTGGCTACGGGCCTGGGTGTGAATGTAGCAGGCTTAGAAGGCGAATGGAAAGGTCCACGTGTCTTGATTTACCAGAAAATGAGTGTCCATGGTCGATTCCAAAGACCAAAGAAACAGATACTATAGATATGAAGAAGAGAACAGTCAAAACTGTAATGTTTGTCAAAAACCATGAATGCGATAGACAATAATAAATACTCAAATTGGAAAAAATTTATTAGGGTTACAGTTTTTGGCTTCTGATTCATAACTTACTAGAGCCAGATGCTGTGTGGACGGCAGTCCCCTACCTGTGCATGAGCTAATGTTTGCAGAATGACATTGGATAATCGAGGCGCAGAAATACTTAAAGAACACAAGTCATTTTAGGATGAATGGTATAATCTATGTTGAGACACCGGCAACAAGTGGCCATCATATGACCAAGCTTATTCTTTACTGCATCCAAGATGTCATCATTTTTCCCATTTCATTAAACTGCATGCAACTACTTCAGGCCATACCATGTTAAAATTGGACGAAACAAAACGGCCAAGAATTATGGAGGTATTTTCACCTGTTAGGTAACCCGTGCCGTACATTTGGAGCTAGCAGTAGACTGCTAAACACAAGAATTCATCTAAGTTCTTAGATGATTCTATGAAATTAGAGGACATGACAACAGTACCCAATTTGTTTTGCCCAACAAGAGCTTAGGGGAATGGTAGCTGGATGGAACAAGGATCAGTTAAAAGAGTATTGCGCTGAGGAACAAATCAACTGGAGATTTACAATTCCACTACCACCGCAATACAACAGTTGTGCAGAAGCACTTGTCAAGAGCTGTAAACGTGCACTGAAAAAAAGCAGTAGGTTATCAACGACTAACTTCATTTGAGCTGTATACCTATTTTCAGGAGGTTGCAAACTTGGTCAAAAAGAGAAGTTAAATGGCCCTGTAAACGGCTCATATATTTGTCCAAATGACATCCTGCTGAGACGATCAGCAAGTCGTGTTCCCCAAGGCCCATTCCCAGAAACAAAGAACCAGTGCAAACGGGTAGAATTTGTGGTAACAGATGTCAATCCTGGGAAAAAACATGCGTGTAATGTAATGCTGAAAACAGCAAAAGGTAATTATACACGTCAGATCACTAAGTTAGCAGTTATCTGTCCTGTTGAAGGGTACAAGTAAATTTTGATGCATATCCCTCGCATTGTAGTGGAGGATATTTCGCTAAGAAACTGAGCATGTGGGTGCAAATATCACGGCATCAGAAATTCAGGATTGCACGTCAAGAAGGTTTCTGATGTATTTTTTTGTGGTTAAACCTCAAGAAGACTTTATAATGTTCACTGATGTAATAACTGGATTGATGATTTCTACCTGAATTGACATGTAATTGAGAGATAATATATAAAAGGTGCAATTTTCACATGACCGTGAACGGCCACTAGGCAGATTACGATAAATTATGGATTTTACATCGCGAGAATTGAATAAATATATCAAGTATACCATACGCTACTGGAGCATCTCAATATTTGTTTCCTACGACTGAGCCAATCCCCCACCAACTCTATTTTCTCATACTTATAAATAGCAAGTCAAGGATAAAAACTAGGAAGACAAAAGTACTAACATGTGTCAAGTTTACAAATCAATTGCCAAGAACTGTTTGATTTATCTGGATGAAATTTGTTGGGGAACCTACAAAGAGAAAGTACAATTCAAAAAATCAAATCAAGCAAAATAAAAGTTGTGTAGTTCACATTAGTCTGGATCACCCGTAAAGAACAAATCAACTGGAGATTTACAATTCCACTACCACCGCACTCCAACAGTTCCACTGAAATGTCCACTGAAAAAAACAGTAGGTGATCCAACAACTAACTTCATTTGAGCTGTATACTTATTTTCAGGAGGTTGCAAACTTGGCCAACAAGAGACCAATCAGAAGAAAGATAAATGGCCCTGTAAACGGCTCATATATTTGTCCAAATGACATCCTGCTGAGATGATCATCAAGTCTTGTTCCCCAAGGTCCATTCCGGGAAACAAAGAATCAGCACAAACAGGGAGAATTTGTGGTAAACAGATGTCTATCCTGGGAAAAGACGTGTGTAATGCAATAATGCTGAAAACAGCAAATAGTAATTATACACGTCAGCTTTAAACTAAGTTGGCAGTTACTGTATCTGTCCTGTTGAAGGGTACAAGTAAATTTTGAAAATTTTGGTGCATATCCCTCGCATTGTAGTGGAGGATGTTTCGCCAAGAAACTGAGCATGTGGGTGCACCTATCACGGCATCAGAAATTCAGGATTGCACGTCATGGAGGTTTCTGATGTATTTTGTGGTTAAACCAATGACTCCATTTATAATTGTCATGAAGACTTTATAATGTACACTAATTTAATAACTCGATTGACGCTCTGTACTTGAATTGTCGTGTAGTTGAGAGACTGCAATTTCCACGACCTTGAACGGCAACTAGGCAGATTATGATGAATTATGGATTCTACATCGCGAGAATTGAATAAATATATCTAGTATACAATATGCTACAGGAGTATCTCAATACTTGTTTCCTACGATTGAGCCAAACCCCCACCAACTTTATTTAAGAAGACAGAAGCCAAGTTTACAAATCAATTGCCAAGAAACTGTTGGACTTATCTGAATGAACTTTGTTGGGGAACCTACATGGAGAAAGTACGATTCAAAAAATCGAATCATGCAAAATAAAAGTTGTGTAGTTCACACCTGTCTGGATCACCCGTGGATTGTAAAGAATCATCTAACTGGAGAACAGAAGAGCAAGAGATGTGAAGTATCCCACACATTAGCTAAAGACATTGAAGAAGTGATGTTGGTGCTACCAGTTTACAGTCTGAAAGTAAGATGGCTTCAAGTAATAAGGACCGTTGTAAACAGAGAAAATATCCATCATTACCATTCTGGGGAAGTTGAAAGAAGATATGGTAAGTTGTGCTGGCTCCAGATAGAAATACCAGCATATGTCAAGTTTACAAATTAATCTCAAAGAACTGTTAGATTAATCTGGATGAACTTTGTTAGGGAACCAACATGGAGAATATACAATACAAAAATGAAATCTTTCCAAATGCAAGTTGTGTAATTCAGACCCGTATGATCACACATGGATCTTAGGAAATCATCTAACTGCAGGATGGAAGAGCAAGTGTATTATCCCAAAGCAGGAGCTGAAGGACAAGAGTTTGAAGAAGTGATGTTAGTAC